CAAATCTAGGGCCGCCTCGACCCCTATTTTTAGGTCGGTCACCGACCCTGTTTCTTTAGCATTTTTGATTTTAAAAATTACTCCTCTCACTGTCAAAACAATGGATGATGTACAATCTTAAAAGATTTCTTCCTCGTCTCAAGTACATTATTAGTCAAGATTTTGCTATTGTCACTAATGCGTCCCACAATTGGCTAAGTGTATGCTGCATTGTCCAGGGCCCACGTGGCCCTTAGCAAAAACCCTATTAGTCGACGTCTTAAAAATCACACGTTTTGAATGCATGTACATAGTACTAGAAGAAAACAGTCGACATCTTTCAATCCTAATTATTATTTACAATATATCACGTATCATCATTTAATTGGACAATTTAAAAAAAAAATTAGGGGCCCCACCAAATTAATGAGCCACGATTTCTTTGCTGGGCCTCGACTTTCATGGCCAACCATTCTCACCATTAATTTTCCATGAACTCAATTCTCCAAACTAACAGCACATTGATTTGAAAGTACCCTTGTCCCTACGTGCTATCTTGATATTACACCAACTTTGATTTTTAATAATCTTATTAGGGTTTGTTTGGGACATGTAAAATTTTAGTTGGGAGTGGCATGTCAAGATAAGTTGTTCAATATTGTTTGTTACAAGGTAAACATTTTGACATTAGAGGGGAGAAATTGTTTATTTATGTTCATATTTTCAATGTCTAGATGTAAGTCGAATTCGTTTTTCATCAAATTCATGATTGAATGAGTCATATTGTTAATTTGAAGAAATGAAAACTCTTCTTATTAGATGATTATGATACTTTTTAAAATTGAAATTCTTGATCAATGAACAATATCACCCTTTCTATTTGTTTTGGTTTGACCTATCATTAGAGACGGATCAGGGATTAATCAGTCGGGAGCTTATAATTTTTTTTTTTTTCAAGAGGAATTTGACAGCATGAGAAAAAATACCCAATTTTTTTATTTAACTATTCAAACAATACAAATCTCCATTGACTTCAACTAAATTTTATTTGCGTTGATGTTGGAGATAACAAGAATAAAATTGAATTATAAACC